TCTGTGATTCAACAGTCTTACACAATTCACAGTGCTCACCATAGCACATACCCTCCCCAATGTCTCTTACCCAGGCACCCCATCCCTCCCACCCCCCACCACTCTAGCAACCCTCAGTTTGTTTCCTGAGATTAAGAATTCCTCATATTTTACACCCTACTCTTGAGTGTGTGTGGAACCTGTAAATATGAGAGTTGCTTCAGCAGTTGGGTTATCTTATATGGCAAGTGGTATTGGGGGAGTCTTATGATTATGCTATACTTATGTAAGACTCCATCCTAGCGGAGTGAAGACAGACTAGAAGTCAGAGAAATGCCCCTCCTGGCCTGGAAGAAAGCAAGCATCATGCTGCGAACTGCTTTTGGGTGGGGAACTGGTTCCTCTACGAGTAGACAGCAGTGCCCGGCTGATGGCCAGCAAGAAAATGGGAACCTTGGTCTGACAGCTGCAAGGAGCTGATTCTACAAACCTCTTGTATGAGCTTGGAAGAAGACCCTGAGCTTCCGATGAAACCACAGCCCAGCCAACACCTTGATTGCAGCCTTTTGAAACACTGAGTAGAGTAAGCTGTGCCTGGATTTTTTTTTTTTTTAAATATAAGATTTTATTTATTTATTTGTCAGAGAGTGCACAAGCAGGGGGAGCTGTAGAGGAAGAGGGAGAAGCAGACTGCTGAGCAAGGACCCTGATGCGGGACTTGATCCCAGGGCCCAGGGATCGTGACCTGAGCCGAAGGCAGACGCTTAACTGAGCCACCCAGGCGTCCCTGTGCCTGGATTCTTGACTCATGGAAACGAGATAATAAATTCATTTGGTTTTAAGCTTATAAGTTTGTAGAAATTTGTTATGCAGCATGGAAAACTAAAACCATGACCTTAAGGAGATTATTGAACTGAGCTAACTTGTTTTCTTTGGAAAAATGGGAATCCTAGCTCTTTATAGGGAAGTTATAGGATTACATGAAATGATAAAGGATCTGGAAATCAGTAGGTATGTCAGAAATGTTGGCATTCCAGGTTTCCTGTACGTGGCTGGCATCTGACTCTTGATTTCAGTTCAGGTCACGATCTCAGGTTTGTGAGATTGAGCCCCATGTCGGGACAATGGTTTTTGCATCTCTGGGGAAAGCTGTCCTCCTATTTCTAGAACTGTGCAGTCTACACCTTTGCTGCCACCCCAGGCCAGCTCAGGGAATGGTGGCAAAATCACAAACAACTGAATTTGTGTTTGGTTGAACAAGTGTTACTGGAATCTACCTAAAGTGGGAGAGAATTATAAAACTTGATTTTGGTCCAATCGTGGAACCATGTTTTTTGGTCCGGTGGTCGGGGAGGGTGGCTCTACTTCTCAAGGCTCGGCTCTGAGCTCTGGGTTGAGTTCCGGTCTGCGCCATGTGTTTCCACGTTCTCCTTGGGCCAGCGCCTACCTGAGGCATTTTTTTTTTCCTCTTGGGAGCTCAAGAGGCCAAGCCAGACTGTTGGAGTATTCCATCTACTAACATACCACTGGCTAAAATAAGTTTCATGGCCAACCTCAACATCAGTCGGTGGGCAAGCACACTCTGCCCACTGAGGGAGGCAGTGGGGAATTGAGAACAATAATCACCACCAGCCTCAAGTGGCAGTTCTTTTGGTTCTTCAGGTTGCTCATTTCTTGGTCCTCTTCTTGATTAGTTTCATTCTCTTATTTGACTATGAATTCCCATAAAAATATCATGTTAAGTTCCCAAGAGGGATATACATGAAAGAATATAAGCGGTTGAATTTGGTGACCTGATGCACAAGTCCTGTTCTTGAGGAGATTCTGTGATTTGCAGCACCAATTTCAGGCGACTGTCTCACTTTCCATGTCCAAAGGAGAATATTTCTAATGTATCTCTTGAGAATTCGAAGAACATGTGGAGAATAGCCTATTAGTCAAAGAGTAAGATACGGAAATATTCCTAGGTTTTCTTGACTCACCAACAAGGCACTGATGAGGCCGAACTTTGGCCTTTGTACCCGTACCTGTCATTAAGAAGATGTCGCCTACCTCTCAGCTGAGTAGCATTATCAGTGTTGTTGACTGGGAAGATATTTAATCAAAATATTGTAACAATAGCCTGCCTTTTTTTTTTTTCCCTCTGCTGTAGGACATAATGATTACATTTGCCCAGCTACAAATCAGTGTACGATAGATAAGAATCGGCGCAAAAGCTGCCAGGCCTGCCGACTTCGGAAGTGCTATGAAGTGGGGATGGTCAAGTGTGGTGAGTTTTCGCTTCCCCTTTCATCATGTGTGGGCCATGCTGACAGCTCTGTCAGGACAGGCGGAGGGACTGGGGACAGGTAGCCTGCGTGAGAGGAGATTTAGGACTTGGTCATTATCTTCAAGTATGTGTATTCTGTCCCACTGGAGGGGGCACTGACTTATTCCCTGTAGCTGCGGAGGACAGAGCTGAGGTAAACAGGAATGGGTTATGGGAGGCACATCTTGGCCCAATATAGGGAAGATCTTTCTACGATTCAAGTAGTCTGACAACACAATGGGCTGCTGCATGAATTTGAGAACTCTAGCCACTGAAGTACGCAACTGGGTTGGATGACCATCAGCCTGAGGCCTTGAGAAGTCTAAGGAGGAAGTTCTGGTAAATGTTCACAGTGAAAGCTGTGACAAGAAAGTAGACTGTCTGGTGGGTTACTTGGATAGCTATGGGAAAGACTCGTGCCTATCCTCTATTAGCTTTCTAGAGAAGATCTGTAGAGGAGTCAGAAACATGATAGAACTATGGAAAGCACATAGAACATAGATTCTGTGTTACGATGGTATGTCTTCATATCATACGTGTGTGTGTATCCACACATAGGTGCATACATCCATGAAAAACAAAGAAAAATGGGCACATTAGAGTAACAGCTGACAAGAATGCCTACATCCTGCTCTCTCCACCTGGCTAACTTGATTCATTCATTTGTACACACTTGCTGGTTTATGCGCACTCACATTAGCTCTGCCTGTACTTTTCCTGTTACTCTGCTAGTCAATATTTTGCCTGTGGTTAGTTGTAATTTATCTCTTTGTAACTATTTGAAAAATTTAAAACAAGAGTCTCTTTTTTCCCTGACAGTCTCTTAGGAGCTCTGCCTTTTGAACATTCTCTGTCCTTTTTTTTTTTTTTTTTTTTTAAGATTTTATTTATTTATTTGACAGAGAGAGAGACCCACAGCGAGAGAGGGAACACAAGCAGGGGGAGTGGGAGAGAGAGAAGCAGGCTTCCCGCCAAGCGGGGCTCGATCCCAGGACCTGGAATCATGACCTGAGCCGAAGGCAGACGCTTAACGACTGAGCCACCCAGGCGCCCCTCTCTGTCCTTTTTAAAAAATGTATATAATAGATAAGACATCTTATCCAGCTATATTGTAGTATAGCAGAAGTCCTCTAGAATCACTGATGTTTTCTGTTTTCTTTGTAAAATACCCTGCCAATACCCATGACCAGTGTGTACTGGTTACTCTCTAAAACATTCGAGCATTTCTGCTCCCCCGCCTTCAGTTATACCTTTATCAGTAACCAGTGGGTTTCTTCCAAAACCTGTTTCCACTCATTGTAACTGTCAAATTATATAATTTAATTAGAATTTATGCAAGCATATGAAATATGAGTAGGAAAAGACAATCATTTCTGTGAAAGCTTTGGATAAAACTGTACAGGAGGGGCACCTGGCTGGCTCAGTCGAGTCTTCATCTCGGGGTTGTGAGTTAAGCCCCATGTTGGGTGTAGTGCTTGCATTAACTGTAAAGGACTAGTAGCTATGGAATTAGATATGAGTGAGATTGGGGGGGAGGGGTCATAAACCCTAGAAAAAATCTGAATTTGGATTGCTTTATGAGTGCCTAAGCTCTTGCTCTGTTTTAAGGAAGGTGAAATTGAAAATTCAGGGACAGTGTATCACGGACGTGGCCTATGTAGAAAAGTTACTTGTGATTTAATTGGTGGAGGTACTGAAGGAGAAAGCCTTGGCCCTTTGACAAAAGATTGCAAATCAATGTTTCATATTTTAAGTTAATATTTTAAGGTGAGTGTATTTTTTAAAAAGTGATTTACAATTTAGTCTTAGGATAAGAATGCTCTTATTGTCCTACTTTCTGTTGGACAGCTAGCCATAGCCCTGGTGGTTTGGGGCCAGGGCAGGAGCACCTGCATAATCCGCCTGCAGGGGGCGGTGTATGTGGTGGGAAGAACAAGAGGACAGGACTTCCAAAGACTGAAGCTCATTTTTTGTCTCATTACTTCTTGAACTGTGACTATGCTCAAACTTAACCTTTCTGGCCCTTGGTTTTCTTTTTTATTTATTTTTTATAAGTTGTTTTTTTTTTTTTTTTTGACACAGAGAGACAGCTAGAGAGGGAACACAAGCAGGGGGAGTGGGAGAGGGAGAAGCAGGCTCCTGGCTGAGCAAGGAGCCCGATGTGGGGCTCGATCCCAGGACCCTGGGATCATGACCTGAGCTGAAGGCAGACACTTAATGACTGAACCACCCAGGCGCCCCTGACGCTCGGTTTTCTTATCTCTGAAAAGAAGATATCTGTTTCATGGAGTTTTGTGAGGAATGCATGTGAAAAAAAGATGTAAAGACCTAGCACAGTGTTTGGTACTAAATTTTCGTTTTCCTTCCTTTCTCTCCCCCTCTTTGAAAAGCTCATATAAATTATGAGCAGTTTTAATGCCGTACAGTCTTGCCCAGGCAGAGTACAGAGATGTAGTTAAAAAAATCTTTCATGACACTCACTCAGAAAGATATCTGCGCCCCCATGTTCCTAGCAGCATTATTTATAATAGCCAAGGCATGGGAACAACCTAAGTGTCCATTGACAGGTGAATGGATAAAGAAGTTGGTGTGTGTGTGTGTGTGTAAAAATGGAACGTTATCCAGCCATTAAAAAACACACACAAAGAAATCCTTTCATCTATGACAACATGGATGGACCTTGAGGGTATTATGCTAAGTGAAGTAAGTCAGAGAAAGACACATACTGTATGATCTCACTTACATGTGGAATCTAAAAAAACAAAAACAAAACAAAAAACCCAAAGTCCTAGAAAAAGATATCAGATTTGTGGTTACCAGAGGCAGGGTGTGGGGGGAAAGGGAATTGGGGAAAAGTGGTCAAGGGTACAAACTTCCAGTTACAAGATAAATAAATACTAGCAATGTAATGTACAGCATGATGACTGTAATTAACACTGCTGTATATGTATGAAAGTTATTAAGAGTAAATCCTAAGGGTTCTGAAAGAAAAAATTTCTTTCTTTCCTTTCTCTCTTTATTTATCTATGTGAGATGATGGATGCTAACTGAACTTACTGTAGTAATCACTTCACAGTATATGTAAGCCAAACCATTATGCTCTATACCTTAAACTTACACAGTGATATATGGCAATTATTTCTCAATAAAACTGGAAAAAAATATTTCATGGAAAAGAGAACAAGAGAAAGGGTCATTGAATTTGGCCAAAAAGAAATTGGGTAGGGCTGTCTAAGAAAAAAAAATTTTTTTTTTAAAGATTTTATTTATTTGAGAGAGAGAGAGACAGCGAGAGAGGGAACACAAGCAGGGG